GGTAGATGATGTGTGGTAGCACACAGCATCCCAAATATTTAGAACAAAAAATATTCAACAAATGGACCTAAAATGCCCAGGTGTGGACAAGCCTCATTAGGAGAGTGTGCAGACATCTAAGCAGACTTTAGGGAAGTCAATGGTGCCCTCTAAAGGAAACTCAAGTGACATACAAGAGTTCTTGACAGTTGAATGAACAGCCCATATGGCCACTGTATGATCAATAGACTATTTCGGAGTGGTAATTTAATTAATAAGCTGACAAAATACAGAGTCCTTCATATTGCTTCTGAATCTGAGAAAGGCAGCCTATGTAAGGTTCACTGGTTTGGGTTTTTTTTCATCCTCAAACATTTCCTGCGCAGGATAAGAAAGTGTTTTCATCCCAAAACGCACATAAGTGTTATTGGGAGCATGACCCCAGATCACAGCTCAGGAAAGAAAGCTGCATCAAACAGGCTCACAAAAGCGAGAGTGTGCCAGGATGTATTTCATAAAGCATTATCCAGACCTAAATAACACAGAACAGCAGCAAGTACACGCCTAGGAACGAGAGGTGTAAATAAACGAGCACCAGGAAGAAACCAGAGCTCTGTAAGCAGTGTTTTGTATCAGCTTTACCCATCGTGAGTTTGCAGTTCATGAAGCGCTTACAAAATTCAACATATTCTCTTTCTAGAAATATGAAGTACCATAGACAATATGTTTCAAACTTCCACTATTTACAAGTTAGAACTGCATTTAAACAGAACTCTCAGTTCTGTTTGCTGTAGAACAGCAAATTTAAGGATGACAAGTTTTGCTGTAAGGAACTACAGAGGCAACACTCAAAGCCTGAGCCACGAGCTCTGACTGAGTGCCACAGCCAAGGGCTGTCAGTGGGCCAAACAGTGGAAGAGCTCCTGAACTCTGAAGTACAAATCTGCAGATCTTGTATCATAGAATCATAGAATGGCCTGGGTTGAAAAGGACCACAATGATCATCTAGTTTCAACCCCCCTGCTACGTGCAGAGTCGCTAACCACTAGACCAGGGGTTTAAGAGAATTTCAGGATGACAACAATCTGCTGCCCAGAAAGATACATCCTACTTTGAATTCAACAGGCACTGCAACATTCCGCTCCTCAGAAAATCAGGACCATTTGTTGATTGCCACTCATTAAAATGAGCATTTACTGTATTAGGCTTTGGATAAACTCTAGACCTCAGAGTGCAATTTATAATTGAGAAGAATATGGAAATATTAATATTGCATAGAATCAAATATTTCTAGTGAATGCTGTAAATGTTACTCATGCTATGTAAATGGTGGATATTTTTCCTGGATTGCAGGATGCTGCGATTTATCAGCTTGAGCAAAACTGCATCCTGTGCCATCATATGTGGTGGATTCAGTGAAAACAAAATCCATAAGAAAAAAGATCAGAAGACATGAGAGTACTCTTAAAAAAAGATTTAATCTTATTTTTGTGCATTTCTTTGATAGAAGAAATTACACATTGCAATTCATCCCAGTAGAGAAAACTGGGTGAATTGCATTCCAATATTTGAGATTCAGACAGAGGATGCCTATACACACTTGAAAACGGAGCAGTGCCATCTAATGAATGAGAACTCAGACATTTTTAGTCTAACTTCTGCCAGCAGTGATGCAGAGAAAGGCTCTATGCCTCCCATCTTCTCAAGGTTTCCACACAGGTGCCATGAGGCCAATAGGTTCAGAGAGCATGCAGAGACAAACTTCCAGTGAAACCCAGACACTGTGTTGTTGTTATTCTGTAAGATGGGTTATGAGACAAAGAAAGCTATGCACCAAGCAAACAAACAAACGACTACTGGTTAAATAAGAATCATGCCCCAGGACCCAGATGCTTGGTTTACACAGGTAGTTCAAGGCTTAGTTTGAGAACTCAAACCTACGTTTAGCTTTATAGCTACAGGAAGGTCAGGTACAGGAGTTCAGTTAGTTCAGTTTGACAATCCAAACATCATTTCTTCATGCTGACTACTAGTAATTGACTGATCTTCAGTGAATTACAGAAGGCAGGTTATCCATCCTTTCCATGAGAATTACTGAACAAAGCCAAAAACTTTTTAGAAGCTTTGCAAAACACAGCAGCATGTAGCTTGAGTCCTACAAACTCTCACGATACCACAGTGAACAGTAAAGGAAACATTTAAGACTGGTTTAAGTGGGGAAAAAAAGGGAAAGGTCTGGCATGTGGGAGCTGCAGATGGTTCAGCAGAAAGGCTGCAAGAAGAACTCCTACATCAACAGCTGATAGAGATGATAGAGATCCCGTCACAGCAATATGCAGCTTTGCAGGTTACTGGGAATATGAGAGCAGCCTATAACCCAGGCTAAAACGAAGACTTAAGCCATTAAGGGATGGTGGGTAGATGAAGACCAGCTTGGAGCTCTCGGCAGCTCAAAGAAGATGAGAAAGGACCAGAAGATCCTAACAACTCTCAGAAGTGAGACTAGAAGAGCACCAAGGGGCATTTCCACAGCCCAAGCAGTGACCAGGGAATGCAAGGCCATCCTAGAAGGCAAGCCTCATGCTCTGGGTTGCTGCAAGGATCCCTGAAAGGCCAGCTGGGTATAAGAGTCCTTGTGCCCAGTCAGTGGACAAGGCTACTTCAACATAGCCCTGTTAGTGTTTGTATGTGGTAGTACAGACAAAACCAGTTTTGAACCATCACAATCCCTTCTTATGAGGCCTTCCAACATTACTTCAACCCACAGGTGAGAAGAGACACATGGCTGGTAGGAGGTCATAGGGCAAAGAAAGAAACCCAGAGAATAGAGAAAGTGAAGAGAGTTGAGGGAGAAGATAACTGTTGTGCTTAGGTGAAGCAACAGCCAAAGCCAGAGAGAGCGAATGATGGTCAATAGGGAGGAAAGTCACAGCCACAGCAGCACGAGTTTATGAGAGTGAAAGAAGAATGAGGGTTCTAGGGCAGTGGGAAGACTCACAGAAGTGACAGGAAAAGGTCCTTAAGACAAGGTAAGAGCAAGATGTTTCAGAAAACAGGAACCTGGAGTCTTATAGGGTACAGGAGGGATACTGCCTTACTGTGGTAAGAAAGAGCTGAGTTAGCATTTGTGCCCTAAATACAACGCTCTCATATTCAAGAACAGATGGCCACACAGGAGGTATCTGAGACAACTTTGTCTAAGTAACATGGAACAGCCTTGTGCAGAGAACTTATTAAGGGAGCATTAATACCAGTGAGACATGGGAAAGATGGCAGAATCACAGAAGGACATAGGCTGGGACCTCTACAGGCCATCTGGACCAACCTGCTTCTCAGAGCCAAGAAATAATATATGAGAGGTGAAAAATTCCCTTGTGTCTTCACAGATACAAGGTTAAGTCATACCTACATGCCAAGTCAAACCTATCCTTGGTTTTCCATGGCTGATGTTCCCCTCTGAAAGCAATGGTCATATGTTGGTGGAATCACTACTCTGTTCTCTCTGCATTCTTTGCTGCAGAGCACAGTTTTTGACTATCAAAGCAAATACACACTACAGTCTGTGGCTCACTCCAAACACACACACCCATTGCAAAGACATAAACCTACATCTCAAACAAACTGGCTGGTGCTGAACCAAGTGAGCCATACCTGCGAGAGGTATCCTAGCAACTCCTGGCAGCCAGAGGTCCTGGCTGACTGTGCACACTGATACAATTGTTCTCCTGATGACATCAAGACTTCGCAGGTAATCAAAGACAGAATTCGAAACAGGAGATCATGCTAAATATTATCCAGCAAAAGAAAATTTTATAAGTGAGCAAAGTCACTCAGGACATCTCTTACACTTAAAGTTGTATCAGGACAAGAGAAGATCGACTTCATGAAGTCATGTAGTTCAGGGAACAAAGCCTTCCCTTCCAGTGAATCTCCTGAAGCTGTTAATTTCTGCAGAGTAGACCCTTGGTAAGTCTTGGCTTTAGAGCACTGTGAATTTATTTTCTGGAATACTAAAGGCTCACCCTGAGGACTCTTGGTCTGTAAATATCCACAAAAGTCCCACTGATGCTCTTCTAGCCATTTGCCTGAAGGCATTTTCCTAATCAGATTTCTACTCCTAACATGCCAGATCAGATATTCTTCCATAACCCCCAACAGAGCTAATAGACTCTGGGCTACCAGGTAGCCTAAAGCACATCCTCTCCAAATTTCCTCATTTAGAAGCATTATAGATTTGCAATTAACCTCTTTAGGCATGTATGCAATAGGCAAAGCAAAATTAGAAAAACAGAATTTATCAGAGTTCTAAAAAGTCACTTTCTTTGATTCCTTAACTAGCATAAAGACACTGCTTTAAGCTTTTTCCAGCTGACTCTCCTTACCACTGTATGGTAACTATTCTATCCTTCAGGCTTCACTTCAGGGTCGTAGACTGTAGGGATGCCCTTCGCATCTCTTCTGCATTACAGATGCAAGATTACTGTGCCTTTCCCTCCATCCTATTCAAAAAGTCTTCTCGCATAAAATTTCCTTTTTCCTCTGTCACTTGTGTCCTATTACCTGATCAAGTTCATCAGGTGCTCCTCAGTGGGAGACCATTTTGCCCAGGGCAGTAACCATCTCCTGTGTATTTCAATAAAACAATTTAACAAATTTTAATGATCATCTCATATTAGAACGGAGGATTTTTTTTCCAGCACAACAGGTTTGACAGCCTTATTATCTGAAAGTCTAACAAACAATCTGCAATAGCATAAACATCAAGTTATCATCACAGATCATCATTAGAACAGCTTACATTTGTGATCCGTTTTATCCTCCAAAATGGAGTGTTCTGCAAACACTTAACAACTGCCAAAGCAACATGCACACTACATGGATATGGAAGTCAAGATCAGGGGTAAAAAGGACTAATGCACACTGATGAACACAATCACAATGTCTACAGACCCTTTTAAGACCTTGCAGAAGTTGCTTCCAGACAGTGGAAAACTGTTACTTCTCAAGATCAGAAATCCCACTTGCTCATGTTGAGAAGGATCCAAAAATTCCACCCTCCTGCTCCCTCCAAGTCTCAAGTGCTTGATTTATACTTCTTAACTGTAATGGTATTTACAGACAAGTAATACTAAAACTGTAAACATAGCAAGAAAAGACAATAAGCTGTAGAGACAGAAAGCAATCAGGGAAAACAAAAATATACCTGTGGCACCGTTCCCAGCAGATTAATTTATTTTCACCTTCCTAGAGGATATACCTTTTTGTGCAAGCCAGCACAATGCTTGCTTCAGGAAAGGTCTGCTAACAAAATGTGGTCATTTGTGAACTTAAGAGGAGGCTGACAGTATGAAGCAACTTAGAAAATATACATTTACAATTGAAATAGCAGAGCACAACACTTCAGCATGATAATTAGAATTTGCCAGACGTTAATGGGTCACTGTGCAAACAAACCAACCAACCCTCCATACACTTAATATGATCCTTAAAAACCACAGCAACTACATCATTGTTTTGTGTCCTGTAATCCTCAGCCACAGGAAACAAAAGCAAACAGCCACAGCAACATCTTCATGAACACAGCCCTTTAGTCTTGAAGGGTAGTACTCATCCACAATTAAGACAAGATAAATAACCACTCGCTTGCATACACTTAACGTGCTTACAAGCTGACTTCTGCCTCTCAAAATGAACATTGTATATCCCCAAACAAGTAATACAGACAATTAAACTCACTCCTTCTGGTTAGAGTTAAACTTATATTCTAACTTACAGTAAGTAAAATGAACGAGCTGAACTCTACAATATTATAATCAGCATAAGCAGGCTTGCATTGTAAGCACAAAGGTGAACATGGGTTGCTTTTCACTTCAGCCTGATTAAAGAGAATGGTCCCACACACACCCAATCTGAATCTGTGACTAATTTTCTTTCTGAATGGAAGAGCAAAGAAAGTTATTGCATGATGCAGACACCAGCCTTTCTTTTCAGAAAAGCTATTGTTTTCACAGAAATCTTGATTCAAAGCATCCTGAAGTCATAATAATCCCCCTCTGTATTTTAGTATGTTTTAAATCAGGCTCACAGGGAGCTTATCAGAGAAGCATTTAAAAATCTGTCACTCTAGTAAAGAATGATGACCTTCATGTAATTATCTGGAATGCCTCTGCTATATACTTCACTGCCTACAATTCCAATTTATATACACGCACCATGCAGTGAATTACATGACTAGCAATGTCACTACCAAACCCATTTTCATCCCCCTTCCCCGCATCAGTAACACAACATAGAAAGTCAAAACTTTTTGTTAAAGATGATCTCCACATACAAATTTTACTTAACTGTTTTAATAAAAGCATTTTGTTAAAAAACAACTTAGTAATGATTGGAATTTTATGTAGAAAATTCAAAAATTACAAAAAATGGCATTATATAATAAATATAACCTGAAAATATTGGACAACCTGGACCAGTTTGTTATTAAGATCTCCAGAAAAGCTATGCAGAAAAGAGATCAGCTGCTCCTGAGTTAGTTGCATTTCTGTTGAGGTTCTTCTGAGATAACATGGTTGCAGTGTAGAGCACTGTCTTTCTACCTGAGGCTTTGTGCAAGTTAAGTCTCTTCTATCAATTTCATGACACTGATGTTACATACGCCTTTTCCTGATACAGTTTACAGGCTCTTTGAATGCCTGGGAAAGCAAATTGAAGCTTAAAAGAAATAAACCAAACTAAAAGCAGTGTACAGTGAGCAGCCTACAGGTAACAAAATACTTCCTACACTGGCTAGCCAGAGATGCACGCTTATTAGCTGCCCTGAATACCAGCACTGCCACTTAAAAGCTTGTTGCTTTCTCAGTCAGCTAACTCTGTCATAAATAATTCTCCTTTGTGAGAAGTATGATTTTACTGATCTATTACAGATGACACATAAGTCTCAGTAATCAAGAGAATGATAGCAAGAGAAAGACCGTGTGCAAAAGCCAGCAAGAGAGCACAAAGTGTCTATGAGTGTATGTAGGTGAAGGGTGTGCATGAGTGTAAGCCTTTGTAACACTTTCCCTACCTACAGCATCCCTACAAGCACTGCACTGACAAGCCTCTGGCACCCCGAGCCACAGCTGCACAAGTCAGATGGTGCCATGTAGCAACAGGGACCATTAATCTGGAACAAAGGTAGGGGCAAGAGCATCTTCTCTCACTTACGTGGCAAGCTAGTAGCTATCTCACCTATCAGCAAGTCCCTCAGGACAACTTCACTGTCTTACTGCCAAAATAGTTACTGCCAGGTCTCCAAGGCCTGTATTTAAATGTTACTTTTTAAAATAAATTTCCTGCATGTATGTTAGGCTGTTCTATCAGAGCACATCTTTCCTCTATACAAAGATATCCATTTTTAAGTAAATTACTCCTTCATAAGGCTTTACATCTGAAATATCTCAAATCTGTATCTAATAAATATTATGTGAAAATATTTATTCAGTGTTTACATATGAAAAATATAAAATATGATCATTGTAAGACTACTTCTTCCATTTCATCTTCTAAAGAACCTAGGGTTTTAAAAGCTGGTTTGCTTCCAGAGTGTTGCAGACGGTGTCTGTTTAGGTTTCTTCCTTCACTGAAAAGATCATTGTCTTCTTTTATTTTGATTTTACTGTTTTTATCAAGAAGGGTATTACTTGATTCCCAATCTATGTCAAAAGGTGTCATATCCTTACTTTTAGGAAGGAGGATGGTACTGGCACTGCTTCCGAAGAGTTGTTCCATTAAACTGGACTTCTTTTCTTTCTTATTATGGAAATCTGCATTTTCCTTCATGTTTTCTTCTAAAGACTCAACTTTTTGATTAAGCCAACTCGGTCTCCCCGATACTTTTCCAAAGGAAGGTACATAACTACCAAATGTTAACTCATTACTTAAATCTACAGTCCTTAAATTTCGCTGCTTCTGCCCTTGTGCTCTTATGGCATCCTCCTGCCCGTCCTCTTGGGGAAATCCATTTGTAACCTTTCCTGGAATTTCAAAGAATTGACCATTTTTTTCTTTCTTCTCCGGAGAATCAGATTTTCTCAATGTGTTTATGAACGCTGTTTGGGAAGCATGAATGAAGTTCACGTTCATTACATTTTGAGTTTCTCTATCAATTTCATTCATTTTGGCAAGCAGAAATTCACTTTTTCGCCGTTCTTCCAGCATTTCAGTACTTTCTGTCTCTATTTCAGCTTTGTGTGTTTCTGTTTCCATCTTTGTTTTATCTTCTTTATCCAATAAAAAGCTGCTTTCTTTTTTCATTTTGTCACATTCTTCCTTTTCCCATTCTGTAGGAAGTTTAAACATTAGTTACAATGTCTTAGTCTTAAGCTGCCTTTATAAGAATATTCTGAAGACAGTGCAAGCAAAAGCCATTGAGTATGCAATATGTTCTTTTATGCACAGTGTGGTATTCCCATTGTAAAAAAAAAAAAAATATTCAAAAAATTAGAACTAAATCCACTACATTCTCTGCTGAGATACAAAGGTATGCTATCGTTTTTATAAAAGGATTAGGATATTTTCCACATTTTAGAACATCAGGGGAAATTCATTTCTGCCAATTCCTTCTTATTTCTTGGCCTTGAAGAAAAATTAATATAACGCCACTAATTTTAATAGTTCCAACTTGCACTTTGGTTTTCTTTGTCAGCACCAGACACTGGGATATACATATTTTACTGTAAAAGGAACCAATCCTGTAAAGCTATCAAGCAACAAAGTCACAGATAGTCATTACTGTTTTCAAGTTGTGCATGATTTTAAAATTCTGTATCTGCTCCATAAGGCACTTTAACACAAGGGTCTCATATGCCATTACACAAATGCAATGAGAGTGCCCGTGGCAAAATCAAGTGGCAATCTGCACAAATAAAAGGAGCACGTGAGGTGCAACACAGTAATTAAACTACTAACATGCACAAACGTTCATGTGTACAAGAAAAAGAAAGCTTCTAAGAATTTATCTTTTCAATATATTTTTTGAAAATGTTTTTCTAACGTGACACAATAGACATGTTAGGTCAAAAGCTGAATACAACTATTTGGCCTATTCAGCACATTGGCATTTCCTTTTGAACTCTTAATTCAAACTGCTGATTGATGTTTTCACGAAGTTCCATGCTGTCTACGGTACTTCTGATCAAGCTTACAGAAATAACTTTAACAGTTCAGTTTAAATGTATTTTCACATTGCATTTGAAAATATCACAGCAACAAGTAAAGCAGCTACCTTTCTGTATGCAAGGTGGGGAAAATATCAGCTTACACAATAGGAAAACGTGGTCAGAATCATCTTAGACAAGTAACAGAACAAATCCTTGGCCTGCTTAAGTTGTGCAACAATGTGAGTGGAAGAAGGGGAATTATGTAGAGCTTAGTTAAAAGCAGCTGTAGTTTTTTAGATTTCTTCCTTGTCACCTACATTAACTGCTTCTGTTAACTATAATCACTGAAAGAGTATTTTAACACAACAGGATGTGGTTTGTCTATAAAAATCTTATAAATGTAAGCCACTAGTATGTTTTGAAAGCCAAATGAATAAAGAAAAAGCAATGAATAAAGAAAAAGCAGTATTAAGATGTAAGGATGGAAACTAATATTTCTTAAATAGCCACACTAAATGATTCACACAAGTAAGAAGATAAATTACTATCTTCAACGGTATGGTTGGACTGGACGATCTTGTAGATCTTTTCCAACCTTGGTGTTTCTGTGATATAAGTGAAGTAAGTACTGAAAAAAGAGGCCTTATTAAGGACAGCAGATTTCTGCTATAGACAGTAGTTTGTTACTGTTACCTTAATAACATCTAGCAAATCAGAGATAATGTCAGCATTTATTTGCTATGTCATCCTTGTTTTGTAAAGCAAAATCTCTCAGACTTCAGTATTTTTTGCTGCTACATACTTAATCACGTCTGAGTACAGGATTCAGATTACTCTATATTCTATTTTTCTTTCTGATCTCTTTGCATAACATAACATAACTGAAAATAATTTTCCACTGCAGTGATCTCTGCAAAATCATTTTGCTCTTCTCACCAAAAAAAAAAACCCAAAACAATAAACCCAAAAAACCTAGCAGTCTCCCTTGCTTAGCATTCTACGTTGCATTTTCCAGCTTTCAGCTGCCTATTTTCTTACCATCATGTAGCTTTTGAAACCTCTCCTCTGAAGTCTGTAGTTCCTGAACACATTTCAGTTTCTCTTCCTTTTCTCTGTCTTGCTCTTGTTTTCGGAGGTCTGCTTGCTCTTTCCATTCCTTGTTTTGAGGCTCTTTTTCCTGAAACAAATTGATACAATAACAAACTGATGTGGAAAAATAATCAAACAAATAGTATCATACTATCTTCTATTTCATTCTGAAATTATGTTCTGTACTGCTAATCATAAAAATGAGCAAGACATCTAAGCCAAACCAGCTCTGACAACTCAGGGATTTGGCCTTATTATCTTAGCACCTTTAACATTCATCTGAAATAAAACTAACAACCGATTCTTTCCAGTATTACACATTCCAGGAACACTGATGCTTCAGTGTCTGTCATAAAATAAAATTGTCATTGTGTTAGAATAGTTTACTTGAAAACTCAGTAATTGACTTTAATAGAAGCCAGACCCCACTCCATTTTTGTTTTAGCAAACAAGCAATTAGTTACCACAGCCTGACTTCTTACTGAAGTGAGTAGGTTGTAGATTCAGACAGTTTCACAATAGTACTTAAAGTTGTGGAGTATCAAGTAACCAACAGTGAAAGAGAAAGGTTCTTTCCTGGGTTAAAAATCAGCTAATAAGTAGATATACACACATTTAAAGGGAAATACGCTTGAACAGGTATAAATGTCAGCAGTAAAAAAAATCACTAACATAAAAGCAAGGAAGAGAAAGGCAGCCTAATCCAACACCAACAAGTGGATGCTAATCTTGAGGCTTGTGCCTATTTCTCTAAGAAAGTGTATTTTACTTTATATAGGAGTTTATTTTACTATAAAATAAGTGAAATAGACAACCCAACGTTACTTAAAGCAACAACTGGATTCCACAAGCTCTGCTTGTACCTCCTGTGTGGTTATGGAACTCACACATTGAAGTGTTGGAAAATACATGCATTAAACTATATACATAATCACAGAAAAGATTCTGGAATAGAATGCATGAAGGAAGGAGCCAGCCATGAAAATACTTCCATCCTATCAGGAAGCCAGTCAAGACCATCAGGAGAGTATTATTTCTTACAGATAGTCCTAGCCTTATGGAAGGAAAGTGCATCAAATTCATACCAGAACCTGTCTAATTTTACCTTACAAATCTCTAATTCTAGCCTGAGCTCACGGAAGCATTAGGAATACTTCTAATTGTACCATGATTACAGGAAACAGAAAAAAAAAAACTAACAAGAAATCCAACCACATTCACAAAGCTGGATAAACGACAGAAGAAATACCAGTACTCTGACAATAAGAGGAAGCATTAGATTTATGGGTTGTGAAACAAATTTGTAAAGTAAAAGAAACCATAATTAAGACCAAAATAAAAAGAAAGACAAAGCAGCCAGCACTGTTACAACAGACTGCTCAAATAAGCTTTAGAAATAAAGAAAAGGAGAAAAACAAAATGAAGTCTTGAAAACATCAAAGAAATGACAGTGGCAGAAAAAGAAGCAGGTAGAGTTAGTGGCAATCAGTAAGACACAGAATATGGTGAACTGTCACAAAAAAAAAAAAAAGGCACACAATATTTCTGGAAGGGCAGAGTTTCTCTAAAAGACCAGAATGTTGTCTAAACTCTATTTTCTGTATACTTATATGTTTTTCCTAAAAAGCAAGCTGTGCATTCAATATTCAGTCTGACAGGTGAATTACGTGGAGCAAGTCTCAAATATTTTCTTTTAAATGGAACTCACTATTCTGGAAAGAATCCTCTCTTTCTTATCTACTGCGTCATTACAGACAAGTTCTGATTCTGAAGGAAGTTCTACAGATGAGAAGCATCCATTTGTCTGTACTCCTTTCGTGAGCTGTGCTCCTTTTTTGATATTTTGGTTGTTGGCTGTAGAAAATAAAAACAAAACATATCTTCACTTTAAAACATCCCACTGCATATCCCTGATTTTGAAGTATTTGCAAGTAGGGAAGTGGAAAATGTTGACCAATTTCACGTAACTGATTCCAGCACCTGTTATATGCTAGGAAAAAAAAAAAATACCACAAAAAACCACAAACAGAATCAACCAACCAAACCAAAAAAACCCAAACCCACATGTAAAAAAATATCTACAAGAAGAAAAAAAAAATAAAGCTACGTATAAAATCACAGCATACTGAATATTTGTTAAAAAATTAGCCACAAGATATCTGTTTTCATCTTCTTGCTTGTCACTGAGTTCAAAGAATTCATATTCAGAGAAGTAAACTCATTAAGTTAAAATATACTTGTTCGTATCTTAAAAGCATATAAACTTATTTCTATTAAATAACATATTTCAATACCTGAACTCAAAAATGGATGAATAGTAGAATATCTACATTAAAACGAGATAGATAGATAAATAATAAAGTGCTTGAAATGTTGGCATTGACTATTTAAAACAGTGCCAGAAATTCCTTCTTCTGACAAGTAGATTCTACTGATCCACCAAAGACTGAGTATGCACACAGACATACATACATAAATGTGTATTTATGCTTGTAGCATAAGGCTTGCAGCTGCCTTGTCGCTCCAGAAGAAAATCACTGCAGTGATGCTTTTAGAAGATGATGTTCTGGGACATAAGTACTCTGATGCAAAATGTACCACAGCCAATCTGACAACATTAATTTGAATTGGGGGAAATTATAAATAAAAAGCATTCCCAAAATACGGCAGTGACATTTTGTATTTTCAGTCTTCAGTTCACTGTCATGAAGACATCTAGAATCTACTAGATATTTTACTGAACAATCTTCTGGTCCTCCTTCATCCAGGAATATACAATATGAAAGACATTAACAACACGGAGGAAATTCGAAGTTCTGTTCTGCTGCAGTTACAGGAAAGTCATCCCGTGCCCTTCTTTTGTAATGACTGCCGTGTAGAAAGCAGTGCAAAAAAATTAAGTCTTCTCAGACAAGCAGTGATAGAGTCAGCATGATATACACCTGGTAAAGTTTAACGTCAAAGAATGTTTGCCTTTTCTACTTTATTTGTTACCTTTCTTTCTTTGAGTAACATCCATGCCTTTTCTCGGTGATACCTTCAGCATACGATTAGCATATATATTTTTTGCATCAAGTTCTCTTTCTTTTTCCTGTTAAGGAAAGAGATGTAGCAGAAGAAGTTAGTAGTGTTTCATTCACTAGTGGTACATTAAAATAAAAAATACACACTGTAAATGAATTTAAGTAAGGGCATCAACAATTCTGTCCAATTTTCAAGGAGAACAACCACGTTACTAACTTCTCTTGTGCTCAAGAATTCAAATAGAACTTTCCTCTACTCCTAATCTCATTGGCAAAATGCTCTGGAAAAAAGTGTCGCAGCTCTGCAGCAAAAATTAAAGTAAATGCCAGTGCTTCCATAAGCTTGAATAAGAATTGTGATTGTGACATAGATTGCACAAGAAAAATTTCTGTATTGTAGAGTCAAACATTTCAAACTTGTTACAGACTGTGTTAATACTATGGAGCAGTGTCCCACTGTATCATACAATCATACAGTAAAAAGCATATTCTCCTTGTTATATTTATTAACTAAAATACAGAAATGAACAGCAAATTACCAGAAACAATCTGATAATGAAAATATTTTCAGAATATCAAACTCTTTGGATCACTAGCACTGCATGCTCAACAACTGGTAAGGCAACAAACTGCTGCATCTTCATTACATAAGAAAGTTTCAAACACGGTGTTTCTTTATAAAGGCATTTTCTTTATAAAGGCAAATTGATATTTGAATAGAATACAGTGCTTTCTGAGTCACAATTTTACAGCAATATTCAGAATTTTGGCAATCAAACTCAGAGTGAAATAAAACTCTGCATAAATTTAGTAATGTATGCAGATCTCACAACTAATCTTTACACAAGCTTACTGAAATCCATGTACATTACATGGTACATGGTAACATGTAACATGGTAACAGCTGTATATAGCTGCAGATCTGATTTAAAACAAAACAAGTCTTCAATATCTAACTTTCCAGTAAATCTTGGGGTTTAATAACCATTCTCAGCTAAGTACTTGATCTTGCTTTTCTTAACTAGTGCTAACAATAATAACACGGAAACACTGCTGTTCAAAATAAGCTGAAGGGTCAGAGCATAGAATTTTTCAATTTGAAACAGGAAAAGAACTCCCCTGATATAATCAAGTACATTATCAGAAAGTGCAACCACTGCTAAAATACATAACGTTGATGACAGGTACATCCAAAGATAAAACATCAGAACACAGGTACTAACTTGCACTGCTTCACATCTTACCTTCAGCTTCTGATTTAGTTGAAGAAGCTCTTCTTGGAGAGCTCTATTTTTGTCTTGAGCTTCAAGCACCTTTTTTTTCTTTAATTGTAACTCTCGTTGAAAACTGCTACCACTTAATTCCAGATTTTTCTCCAGATCCTTCAATTAAAACAACAAAATAATACTTTTTAATAACCAAGAACACTTTTTTTTTTTTTTTTAAATAGTCAGCGTGGTTAAAAAAATAACAATAAACAAAAATCTTGGATTCAAAGATCAACCCTGCCACTACTATAACACCAAATACATTTAAATCCTAATCCTAATGCTTATGGGGGCAGACACAGCACTTGCAAGTGCTGCTGCTCATCTTTCTGGATGAGTGAGAGGCAATCTGGGGACACGACACTACCCACTAGCCAAGGTTCTTGAAACAGGCAGGGAACGCATCTGCATATCTCTAGTAAAATCTTGACCTGATGGTTTAGAAATGAGATTCCTCCTGAAGAGGAAGAAGACAGGAAAGAATTATAATCTACTAGAAAGAAATCTGTGATTGTTGTTTTGTTTGCATACCCTCACCTCTCAACAGCTGTTTTAAGTGAACCTCTGATGATGAGAGAAGGAAAAAAGCAGACAAAAAGATTCTCCCTTGAAGAGCACAACTTATTTTCATATATTCTATTATTACTGCAAATACTGAGATACCCAATGGTGAGATTCCAGGTGCCAGATGGTGACACTACAGGGTGATTTGAGAAATGTAGCCATTCCTATTGGAGGGATATTCCTATTATTTTGGAGTTCATTTCATGAAAGCTCAGTTTAATCCTTCAGATTTTTGGTATCTATTATCTCCCTAATATAACTTACAATTAAGTACTGATACTTACAATTATGATGAACATTATTTCAGCTAAACATGGTACTGCATATAACTACCAAATATTGCTAACACAATATTTTTTAAAATAAGATGAGTTTTTAAAACATATCTTTAAATATTTTTGCAATCAAAACTAAAACATATTGAAGAGATTCTTAAAATGGATACCCACAAAAAAGTACTAAAGCTCATTTTGGTATCCAAAAAAATTGCTTTAATTTTCTTCAACTCAGCTCTCAGATGTGCAAAACTGGGGGCCAAAAACAAACCCACTACATGAATGAAATCCACAAGATTAAAGAATATATCTCTATATATCCTTTAAAATAGAGATTTTTATTTATATTTTTTATTATATATATATATTTTTAAAGAATTGTAGTACCTGGTTCTCTGAATATCCCGTAAATGTTTATGAAATCCTTCCTCTTCAGGAGGGAGGAATTAGACTGCATAAAGTTACATTATAGCTGCTTGCATTTTTGAAACATTATTCCTAGTTCTAGAAACATTCAAAAACACAACTCCACTGCATTTACACCCACACGTAATACTTAATTTGTAAACAGCAATTTGAATGCATGACTACTGAGTATACAACTGTATAATCCCTTCAGGAATAATTTTTGCACATAAATAGCATCAAGTAGAAGAAAGATTTTCTACTTGCTCCACCACAGTGAAGAAAAAAAAAAAAACAACAAGAAAATCAGAAGCCAAACTAATACATAAAAGTCATTGAGTTAAGAAATATCGAACAAATATTTCTTACCAAAAACTCATCTCACCTTAATTCTTTTTTCACTCTCCTCTAGTCTGCTCTCTGCATAGGCTAGTTTCTTAGCCAGGTCATCTCTTTCAGCAAGGTGTTTATCTGCAGACAGCTTTTTCAGTTTCTGCAAGACAGTTTTTGTTCGGTACAGTTCATCTTCTGAATCTTTTAGCCTTCTCTCAGTGGCACGTTCCCTCTCTTGAGACTTTCGTAGGCGCTCCCTTAATATTCTAATTTCATTGTTGTGTTGAGCAATGAGCTGAGAAATTTCATTCTCTGTATCTTCAAACTTATTCAAGGCTTTCTCCTGCCTGTGCTGAAGCCTCTTCAGCGCCCTGTTTTCCTTCTGCAGCTCATCTAGTTTGATATGGAGTTCAGTCAGTTCATTTCGGAGCTCATTGATTTTCAGCAGCCTAGCAGAAAGGACTCTCTTTGTAACAAGATCTATATCTTTTGCAGGAGAATCCCTAGTGAGGCTTTGAGAACGGAAACCCCACCGTGTCCCTCTTTTGCTTGGTGCATATTTGGAACCCAACTTCTTTGTGCCTAAGAGAGGAGAAATAAAAAGCATGTTTATTAGAAGACAATGCAATTTGTGGATTCAGACATCCTTCCTGGAATGAAGTTCCGCCTGAAACAGTTCTACAATACTTAGCAGAGACTGTGACTTCCAGATCAGAAAATAAAAAGCATGCACGTAATAGCATTATGCTTCTTTCCATAGATTTAAAAAAAGGATATTATGTCTGTGATTTACTGAAAGAGGTAATACCTGCAGACATCAACATGGAAGCACTGCAAAGTAATCATCTATAAATTGTATCAGAAATAACAGACATTTTATTAATATTTGATTACATTTATTAGCTTGCTTAAGAAATATTGTACTCTTATGCATGCAATACTATCAAATGCTTTTAAAATTGCAACAATTAGCTGAGAGCTAGCTAGTTATGTATTATGCAAGATATAATTTTCTCAGACAAACGCAACAGTGTTTTCAAATCCATGCTGACAGATAAAACTGCAATTTTAAAGGGTCAAAAAAGCCTCCACAGCAAAATCATAGATCCTATGAAAATTCAGTTATTCCTTGAATAACTTATTCCTGTATCACAAGTTATTTTCCACAGAGTATCCTTATTTGATTACTAGTATCCATCACTTACATTTTTATTTGCTGTTATTTTATTACCATCACTGCAGATAAAAGCTAAACATCGGTGTTCCTATCTTATTTGCATCTCAGGCAATGCTGAGAAGAATAAAGCACATTACACACCAAAAATACATCTTAAAAGAACTGCATAGACAGACAGCTTAGTGGAAAAAATATTCTGAGTACTGGTTTATGCAGTATAGAGACTTGAAAACCGGTATATAGAAATAACGCAGTTATGCACACACAGGGTGTGTTTGACAGCAAATCCTTCCTTCCTTTTAATGCTCACCATGCTTCTATTCTACAGACAACGTTTTTCAGCAAAAATAACAATTTTAAAGAAAACAGGAAAGAAAAAGTTTTCTTTCCCCCCCACAAATAATACTTACGTAGCATTCAGATATGATAAGATTAACTAATACAGGTACTGCAGGAATCACATCTTTCCTTCTGACAACTAAGCACACTCCCATGAAACTCTCAGTCTAGCCTTCAAACCCCTACATGAATTTCTCCAGATTAAGAGCAGAACAGAAAATTCCAATACCAAGTCAGCACTTTCAACCACACAATTAAGCAGGGGAAGAGTGCATTTCAAGAACAACACTACATTCACCATGCCTTCAGGTAATAATTGTATTCAATTTTAGCTACACCAAAGACCAACTCTTTTCTTTGCCCACTCCAAATCAAACAGAACAGCGGAACTACTGTTTTTGCTTCTCAGACACCCAACCCACAACTGCAATGCCACTTCTGAACATAGAGAAGTCTATTGTAGCAAAAATTGAATACAATTATTACATGATGCCAGGATCTGAAGAGATACTCTCCCTGGAAGACTCTGCCATCAAGGATTTGCAAGTGAAAGTATTTGCTAAAGAAAGGCAAGATATGCTTTCACTTCACCAGAAAACGCATACAACTACTTAGAACAACCTGTCAAAATGTGGCAGAGAAGCTCCATAGCCCTACTTCAGCCTGAAGCTGTATAACCATTCTTTTCTTTTTGCAGGAACGTTTGCTTTCCCCACAGTCTCAATGAACAAAGCAGCTCATGTACAGCAGCTCATGAGGTGTGTGTGAGGGAACTCAGAGTGCAGCTGTATTTAACTCCTCAAAAAACGCCTATAAAAACACTCTTAAATTTCCACTCCACAGGCACCTAAACTTTCACCAAACATTTTCTTCTCTCTTGAAACATTGTTGATTGGTTTTATGGTTTGTTTTGTAATGACACCTTATTATACAGGAAAACTCAGTCAAGTACACAACAGAAGGATCTTCTTTTTTTATAGACTACGTAGTATTGCCTTGTCTTGGTCTTTTTGGGCTTGTTCAGCCTGGAGAAAAGAAGGCTGCAGGGTGACCTCATTGCAGCCTTCCAGTACCTAAAGGAAGCCTACAAACAGGAGGGGAATCAACCCTTTGAAAGGGTAGATAACTGCAGGACGAGGGGAAATGGTTTTAAGTTGAGGGAGGGAAGCTTTAGGTTGGATGTCAGGGGGAAGTTCTTTACAGAAAGAGTGGTGAGGTGCTGGAACAGGCTGCCCAGGGAGGTTTTGAATGCCCCATCCCTGGAGGTGTTCAAGGCCAGATTGGATGGGGCCCTGGGCAGCCTGGTCTAGTATTGAATGGGGAGGTTGGCGGCCCTGCATGTGGCATGGGGGTTGGAGATTCATGATCCTTGAGGTCTCTTCCAACTTGGGCCATTCTGTGATTCCTGTCAAAGATTCAAATAGAACAACAGCAAGATGCAACAAAAGGCTAGTTTAAGAGCTGCACTGTCCTGTCAAAAGAAGCATGAATAATTCTGAAAACCAAAGAAAAAAAATCTCTTTTACAGCAATAGGTTAATTTCGTTTTTCAACTGAACAGTTAAGAGTCTACCTGCCACCTGCAGTATAATTCACACAAATGTTATTAGTAGATTCTTAGAACAGTACATTTACCACTTGTATTCCAACTTTCAAAGACTCTTTGGAGCGGTTACAAAGGAACAGTTTCTATATCTACCTACCTTGGTAGTGCACAAGACTGTCTGAAGCTCTTGTTTTGTGATCTCGCTTTTCATGGCTTGTAGATGGATAGCTTAGAGTAGGCGACTGGTCAGATGAATGGGATGCATTACCTTCATCTGAATAATAAGAGTCACTATTTCTGTCCTCATCCGATCTTCGGTCTTGTTCAGAATCTGGGCTCCTTACCCTTTCTCCCATTTTTTAGATTTAGCAGCTTCCAGATTCTTCTCAAAGACTGTTCATTTTGACACAAAGGACCTTTTAATATTCACAGCAGCAGAAGCTGGATTTATTCTTTGTGTTTATCATCTTCATCTCCAAAGCACGAGATCTTTGTAGTTCAGCTCAGCAAACAGAAGTTATCATTCCAAATGCATTTTTCTGTAACAACTGAGAGAGATAAAAAAAAGCGAGAATGGTTTTGCCGTTAAGAAAGGTAAAAGAACTGTAAAATTACTCAGAATTCCTATAACCTTACGATGAATAGCTACGTTAGCCTTATTATTCACATTAAATGGGACAGATGTCACTCTAGGAATGGAGCTAATACCACACTCAATAGTTTGAAGCAATTCATTGCCTAAAGATTATCAGAAAATTACTATAGCTGAATCTAGAATAAGAAATTATTTCCAGACCACAGAGCAGATAAGCCTCTGGAAAATAAACCAAGTGAAATCCTGAAGCTATTCAGGAAGCTAATATAAACATGCTGAAAAACTTTCTAACCCAAGAAATTGACAACTAATTCCTATGACTAGAACTGAAATGGTATTTGCAGATTTAGACTTAGTCTTCCATATCTTCACTTCTCACACTCCGATGATGTTAAATGAAAGGCTTCATTAAAAATAATAATAATAACAAAAATTCTTGAAGCTTGTTCTGTCCTTAACGACCACTGAGATCCTAGCTGTGTTAGTGTGCTCCTTGCCTTGGGAAGTACTCTTGTATTGTACAACTTTTAGTGCATTGTGAACTCCTTCCAGAACTGGTGAAAGCACATATAATATGTTTCACCTGTTTCACACACTAATGTATGTACAGTCTTTTAAATGTTTATTTTTAAAGTAACTGATAGAGAGACCACACTGCTGGTATATGGTAAACATTACCAGGTGTGAAACGGGAATGACTGCTTCTACAGACTGTTTTTTGATGAAAAGTCTAATCCCTAAGTAAAAATCACCTTTTGCATTTTTCAGACACTGAGAACATTGGAGCAAATACACTGAAAGTTTTCCTTGCCTTTCTCACTCAAAACTGAATTTTCTCATCTGTGCATGAAGTATTTTACTGACTAAACTCAGCTTCCTGCACCTTCCACCTCTCTTCCCACAGTTCTCCAGTTTATTTCTCCACCTATTTCCCATCTTTCCAACCTCAAGACATCAAGCCTCTAATGGGCGAATAAACAGTGCTCACACCAGAGCCCAGCACTCCTGCCTGTAGAATGACATAACCATTCAGAAACAAAATAGGAGCTTAAGTAAACTACACACAAAAAAAATTGAGCTGCTTTCAATCAAATCTCTTCTACACTGCAGGGCATATGACATACCTGTAAGTGAACTGCAAAATTTTCACCATATTATGTTATATATTATGATATTACTATCTCAATAAAATAAACTTAGCATGCTTTACTGGCCTTCAGTTCCCCTGTCTATACATGAAGAACTGCATAGCCAAGCAGAACAGAAACATCAGCTGCCAAGACAGTTTTCATCACAAATTCAAGCTTTCCAGCCCACTATATTGTTAGCACACACAACTCTTGCCTCCAGTGACAAAGATGGATTTGCTCTCATAATCTATATGGCAGGAATTAGAGAAATAAATATTCCAACAGATTTCTAAATTGAGAAGCTGCTGGGAAATAATTACTGAATTATTTGGAAGAGAGCGTTTTTCTTTACTTGGGGAGTAACTTCCTAATATAATGCTTTTTGAGGACCTAAATATTTTTAAAGAGGTCAAAATAAATCAGGTGCCTGAAACTTATGTCAAAGAGTATTCTGATGAAAACAAAAAGAAGAAGAGCAATGCTTGAGATCACTTCTCCTAGAGATTCCTTAACGTGTGCTGGAAGGAGTCAGCTGTAGTGAACATTCAGATGATCAGCAACAACTATTTTCTTTTGCTTTGAATTCATGAAGCTATCAAAGATATTTCAGAAGTATACACCTAACCATAACTGTATTTCCTCATTTGTCTGTGAAGGTAACAAAGATTTCATAAGCATTAATCAGTGCAAGACTAAGATCACGTAAGACATTTGAACTTATGAGAGCACACCCATACTCCTAAACAGCTCTGCTCCTCAATCCTGGTCTCACAGAATTTGTTATCTCGCTCCTTGATTCCAAGCTGAAACACAGTTTTGGCAGCATCCTGTTCTCTACAGAGTGCACAGGTAAGACTGCTTTACGTCTGCCTCTACAAGATAGAATCTCGGGTGATAAAGAAGATAGAAAATAAGATATATGCTAATATTAAAATAGTAAAATGACATAAAATCTAAAGATAACGTGCTATAGGGCTGTAACAGGCATCAAACTACTTCAGTCATCCTGACTGTAACGACATAAAAACTGTAATTGTGTTTGCAGCCTATAGCAAACATGATGTTGTCACTGTTTGCAAGAAGCCGTAGGCTTTATTTTCAGCTATCAGAATGGACCACAGGACTTGTCAGATGTTGTCTGGACTCATCTTGCATGCCTGAAGCTTTATTTATTTAGTTGCAAGAAAATTAGCTAACCACCACACAACTTATCTAACCAGATTTTGCTTAGCTTTGTACAACTGTGTGGTCTAGCACCTGCAATTTGATTTATAACCAACAGACAGCAATAAGCAGTAGTTATTCTGTGCAGAGCAAACTGTCTATGAGCCCTGGAAAAACAGAGGATCACAAGCATGGGATGGCTGCAGGGGCCTTAAAGTATGCAGGGCAACAGGGGGACCCTGCACTGTAGTAGCTCACCAGTGCTCAATTAATTATTCCTCATCAGGTGGGTGATACAGTTTCAGGAGATGGGTAAAATCAGTTCTATAAGTAACAACACATAGAACAAAGGACAAACTCTCAACATGTGTAAAATGCACCATATGCAGTAACTCCAGTTATGATACAGAGCCATGAAGTGCTGAGGAAAGAATAAGGTGTATAGTGTGTTTACAAGTATAAAAGCAATCCCAGGTGGACACATGACAAGAAAGAAACCATCAGCACACTCTCCCTCCTTTCAAGAGAGGATGTGGGATGCTGAACCCCCCTCTCCCCTGCCCCAGACAAAGCCCTTTGGGTCCCAGAGGAAGAGTCAGTCGGTGAAGAAAGTTTGGTGTCAGAGGTTGTACCTCTATTACTGTAACTGTGCGTAACCTGAACTGTGTTAATATCTGGACTAGTACTAAGCCTCTGATTAGGCCATTAAGATTTTAATTAGATTAACAACCAGTTCTCAGCTCTGTGTCTAACATGTGTTCCCTTTTTTGCTCATAGCAATAGGCTGAACAAAACAATCTGGTGGGAAACCAAGCAGCACGGTCTGCCCTGAAGTGCTGAGGTGGGCACCCTGGTGCCAAAGGCACCAGATCCACAGCTGTTAACATCAGCACACCTAACCTCTGTAGCAGTAGTAACTTCTCTGTCGGGCATCTATCTTCAATGGTGTGTGCCTAGCCAAGGTACACCCTACTTTTGTCTGCCGTTAGGATACTGAAGGATAGAAAGGAATCTCTGTGCACCATTTTTTTTCTTGAGAAGAAAGCATATATAAACCAAAACAAGTGGTACTGCATTTTGGGAAAAATGTAAATGTCTGTGATTCAATTATCTAGATGTCTAATTATATATATAAACAAGAAATTCACTTTCACTTACTAACTTAAAGATGATCAGTCAGTAATTTTATAGTCCCAAAAGTACTCGCAGAGTAGGCAATAACCTTTTGGAAGAATGCCTTTCACAACGGTATTTAAAACAGAAAAACAATATTTTGTGAAGTAACACATAAAAATTTATCCACTTCTGTACTGGATGCTCCCTTTCAAGAATATTTTCACAGAATAGAAAAACATAGAATTGTTTCAGTTGGAAGGGACCCTTAAAGGCCACCTGGTCCAACTGCCCTACAATGAACAGATGCCTACAGTTACATGAGGTTACTCAAAGCCCCATCCAGCCTGACCCTGAGTGTCTTCAAGGATGGGTCATCCACCTCCCTTAGCAACCTGTGTCAAGCATTACTTTGACATATAGTGAAGACCAGTCATTTCTGGATTTTCTCTGGAAAATGGGGAAAAAAATAATCATCAGACTGAAAATAAATTGGGAAAGCGTAAGCAATGGAAGCTCCCTTGAGGAATCCCCAAAAACACTTCCAAAGCTTCAATTCATTTTCAGCTTTATAAATTGGTAATATCACATTCTCCATACAAAACAAGAAACTTCAGTCCACCAAATTTACAATGCAATTTGATTAACATAAAAAAAAACGCAGTTTATCTTCAGAGCAAATGAATCACTAGAGTAGGCATTTGGATTTTAATTTAGTTGGCTTAAGGATTACTCAATTAAGAAATTATTTGGTTCATTGGCTTTTCAACTGTTACCAGCCAGCTTGAGTCATTATAAAAATAACCAAAACTTGCTTGAGTAAAATCTACAAAGACATTGGTTTCATCCCAGTACATTTAATGATGTGAAGAGGGAAACGTTGTGAATTACTGGGAAAAAAAAAAAAAAAAAAAAAGCCTAAAACAATAAAAGGAACACAGCAACAAATCAAAGCAGAACACCCCGTCAACCCCACACACGCTTTTAGAAGCTGAACGCATCGGGATCAGACCAACACAGAACCTGTGTTGCAAGTCTGGGACTTGCACAACTTCAGAAAGCTCTGCTTCCAGAATTTCACAGCACAACTCCAGGGATGGCACAGGGCTGCCTGCCACCGCTCATAAGCGCACCAGAAAGCAGGTTACGGGGAAAAATAAATAAAAGAGAGCGAGAAAAGAGAACGACTCGGAAGTTCTTCCTGCCTTCACCGCACACGCGGCGCTCGGCTCCGCAGCGCAACGGCCCTCAGGCTCAGGGCCGCCGTGGCGGCACGCAGCGCAGGCGTTGACCCCTAGCGGCACGGAAGAAAGCAAGAAAGCAGCGCTCGGACAGAAACGCCCACCTGAGTGAGCGGAATGCTGAACGTCCGAGCAAATCACTGCCAAACAAGGCGGCCTCCCTGCTCCTCCCCCCACCTTTTCCGCGCCTCAACGCCGCAGCTCCGCCAGAGCCCGTTAAGGAACGCACCGAGCGTTACCTCAGGCGTTACCACAACGCTTTCCAGTGGCCGCCCCTCACGCCGCCGGGGAGCGCTGCCATCTCCCCCCTCCTCGGCTGCCGCCACTGCTCGGCCGCCCCGCGGCGCCGCCGCTTACCCAGCTCGGGCCCGCGGCCTCAAGGGCTCGGCCCTTCTCTCAAGCCGGGCCCGCGCTCCCTCACCTGCAGGCCGGGCCCGCCGCCCTGGGCCCCGCTCCCCCGCAGGGCCCGGCCCGTGCGGCGGACGCGGCGCCGTTGCCACGCTACGCTTAAAGGAGCCGCGGCGGCGCTCGGGGGCTATTGACAGCGGCTGCCCCAGCAACGGGGCGCGGAGGGAGGCGGGCTCTCCTTGTCAGCCATTGGCTGTCTGTGCCGTCAGTTTAACGTCTCTGGCGCCTGATTGGTGTTAGTGCAAAGCGACTGCTGCTTCTATTGGACGGAAGCTAAATTTCGGCTGCTTGAGTGGCTTAGCCACCGCAAGGGGGGCGGGACGAGGGCTGGGCGTCGCTGGTAGCGCCGGACGCATTGCTTCCGTCCTGCGGTGCCATAGCGGCGCCTGAAGGCGGCGGGAGACCCGCGTCGGACCCGAGACCCTGCCCCTGCGCCGCCATCTTGTTTGCTGGGGGGAGGTCCTGTTATGGAGGGAGGCGTGGAGCGCAGGGTCAGGAGGTGGTGCTGGCCGCTCCTGAGGAAAGGGGCTCCCTGCCGGGTCTCGTCAATATCCGCCTGCGGCTTGCAGGTGTCGTTCTGAGCTGCCTTGAGGTAACCTTTAATAATAAATGTACTCAATCAGACTCCTTACTGGGGAAAGAGAAACAAAATAGCAGACCTTACCTCATCTAACTTAATAATGGAATTTCAACCCAGCAATGAAAATGGCGTAGGAATCCAGGTGGAATAAAATAGAACATTTTGTATGAAAGTTGTAGGAAAAAAAAAAAAGAAGAAGATTGTGGATGAATGGAAAAGATTCTCAAAACTGACTTACTCATGTTGAATGTACACAAGAACTCTTAATATGCACTGCTGCATTTCTTGAAAATGCAACTTAATGAACAGGCTGGGATGCAGCTGGTAGCATATTGGCAGAAACTCCTGTAAAAGAGATGGAGACATGTTTGCAAAAGCACCAAAGCACCTGGGAGGTGCAGACCTGACACAGAATCTCCCAAGCTCAATAGAGCTTTTGGTTTTTTGACACGGGAATCACAGATAGCAGGCAAGCCAAAAAACAACAACTGGTCTTAATTTCCTAATTTTGACTATCTTCCTAATTGCACTTACTATTTTTGCTATATTTGCACCGCTATTATGAAGTTGATTTGAAAAACAAAAGAAACTACTGTGGATCATTTTTTAAATTCAGCCTCCCACGGCTTTGTATAGCTCGCCCTTGTGCTAAACAGCTAAAGCATATAATTCATCACAGCAACGCTGGCACAGATTCATTCCTGTCCTTCAAAAAGATCCAGGAAAACACGGAATAACAAAGACAGAATAATTTTATTGCTTGCAACTGGAGGAAATGTATTGCCTGTATCTGGCAGCAGGCCAGGCCAGAGTCTGAATTGCTGTTACTGCTGTAAATAGGATGAAAGAGACTCATAATCCATCTTCGTGCCTACTCTAGCTAAGAAAATTATAAGCAGAGAAAGCAATTAAAAAAAATAGAAGAAAAAAAAGAAAAAAAAAAACAGAAAGAAATATTGAAGATTTTTTTGTGTGTTAATAATTCATAGTCTAATTATCATGACTAACCCTTTGGGCTTGGTTAATAACTAAGTAATCATTAGTTATTGAATGTAAATAATAAAGGAATTGAATTTAGGCATTATATATCTTCAGTACCTGTACTGAACACAGGATTTTTGTTCAGAACAATCTAATCAGGCTTCTCCATCAGCTGCTCCAGTGAAATTAATGTTAACATTCCTAAATCAGCTGCTGAACTGGAGTGAACTCAGATATTGTGCACTACTGGCATAGGGATTAATCAATGGACGTTTTGAACCTGTTTGTCTAAAACCTACTGTGTTCTCTACACTGCACAGTACAGTAAAGATAAATGGTATGACATTTTGGATTCCCTTGGATGAAACAAACGTGAATCACCTGAGCAGAAAGTAATGTTTTGCAGTTTTCTTCTGTCTTTGTAAAGCCAGACTGATGCCATAACTGCCTGCTTGGATGGAGATGTTGTTGGAACAGAGTGTTTCATTCCAGAGTTAGAGAGGGAAGCAGAAGCACATGTTTTCATATGCTTGAAAGCAAAAATGCCACTGCCTCACAGCTTAAGGGAGAAGAAGGCTGCTTTAAAGAGGGGGATGGAAACCTTCAAAAACTGAAACAGATCACAGTGTCACAATGTTTGATATTCCCAGAGGTATCAACAGTGGTGAAGCCTGTGTGATTACTGGAGCCCTTGCTCTTTTAATCATTACATGTAAATATTGATGGGAAATCCCTGATGCACAGAAAAATGCTATCGATTTCAACTGCACTGTGGAATGGCTGTGGCATACTGGGTGGGAACTGTTATAATGACTGTATCTAATGTGGCAAATAAAACAGATACTCTCAATTACCAGAACAAAGATGGTGTTTGAATTTGGAAGGGGAACATCTTCATGGTATTGCTTTGAACGTCATAACTTAGCGATGAATTGGGGACCTAATGAATACATGATGATGTAAATGAGGCAGCCAAATTGATGTATGTAGATAGTATAGGTATTAGGAGGAATTTTTTTACTAAGAGGGCCATGAGGTTCTGGCCTGGGCTGCCCAGAGAGCTGTGGGTGCCCTATCCCTGCAAGTGCTCAAGGCCAGGTTGGATGGGGCCCTGGGCAGCCTGATCAAATGTGTGGCAGTCCTGTCCATGGCAGGGGGTTGGAATTGGGTCAGTTTAAAGTCCCTTCCATCCCAGGCCATTTTGGTATTCTATGATACTGTGATTCTATGATATACTTCCTGCCTTAACCAGGAGTAAACCATGATGCTGAAATTTGCTGTGAGATTCAGATGTAGACACTCAAATTCTATAAAAGATCCAAGACTGAGTATGAAATACCAAAGAACGTCCATTTTGGCTTCTGCAGCCTTCAGATTTTCTGAGGGAATCAGATCGGGGTAGAAAATAATACTGCCTTGCACACTGGAAACAGATGCATAAACATTTACACACCTCTCTCGTGTATATGCACCAGACATAGGAGCTTGCATCTTCACTGTTACAGAAAAGCTGTGTTCAAAATCCAGGAGCATATGCTAAAGAGAGTTTGGCTCAGATCACTTCTACAGATTTGGGTGAGCCAAGAGCACTAGTAGCAGGGTAGATCTTTGCTCCCTCTCTGTGCTGTTGTGAAGGTGGTCCCTGATGTGACTGAAATCTTTTAATTAGAGCATGTATGTAGATGTAGCTGGGTCTAGCTGAAGTTCTTTACCATATGTTGCCTTATTTTCCTGCATTAACGATACATTGTGTTGTAGCATGTACTTCCCTCTGTTCTTAATCATCTGCAATTCTACCATCAAAATATTTCAAATTCAAATACAAATAATTGTCAGTCTCTTTTGATGCTATAAATATTCATGGTCTCCTTGTAACTCTTAATGCATTTGTCATAATAAGCTATGTTTTTGTTGGAGGCTGGCTGCTTTTCTTACTGTGTGCTCACCTATCCTGAGAAACACGAAGCCAGAGATCTCTTTCAGAACTTGTCTCCCATGCCCCGGACTCTAAGGTGACATGAAGTCTCTCCATTGTTTCTTTTCTCAAGTGCTCCTGAGTCATCTACTGAAAAGTCACTGCTCACCTTCTATGCTTTACTCTTATAATTCTTTTAAAGAATTTCTATTGGTGTCATAATACATAGTTCATGTACTATGACTGGTTGCAACCCCCTTCAACAGTGTTTTCTTGAGCGTTCTCAGCCTGCAATGGCATTAGAGCTGCTGTAGCATTCCTGACATCCCTTTTGTGTCCCTGACAGCCAACAGAGAATGGGCTCCTGTGAACTGAGCTGAACTTGAAGATGTATGAAAGAAGCACTTTTGGCGATGTTCATGGTGAATTATTTTTAACAATACAATTTCCCAAGCCTGTGAAATACTGAAATATTAAAGAAAAAAGTGCAATTAAAGAAATATTTCTGTATACTTGACAGCACTAGCTAGAGATTTCATTCATTTGTCAACCGTTTTCTTTTAGTACACTTCCTTTTATTTTCAATTCACAACTTCCTTGTTGAGAAATATTAGGTGAAGGGCAAAACTGGTTGATTGTAAATTTTGGAAAGATAACAATTTGAGGAACTAACACATCTATATAATGAAATGAGATAGTCCATTTCTTCAATAAGAAGCTTTCACTGCTTATGTTGTGGGTATTCATCCCAAAATAAAACAAGCAAAGCAATTTTGCCTTATAGGATAGCAGCAAACATTTTATAAGCAAATTAAATAATAAAAAAATCCTGGGAAGTTGAAATAGATGCTAAAAAAACATTACTGACTGTTGGACTGGAAAAAATTATGTGAAGGAGACATCCAAGAGGATTTCATGCAGATTGTTCACAATTTGGTAGTTTTATATTAAATGCTGCTTTTGTTCTTAGTTGGCTTTAGTAATGCTTTTCTAGATAATCTCATTTTGAAGGACAAACATGGTATTTGTGAATGTGTTTCTGCTACTTTGTGCAACCTATGATTTCATATTCACAATATGCATATTTGTCTTTGAGAAAAAAAATAAATGCAGAGACCAAATAATTCTGACAAGTTCTTTAATCAAAAGCAATGCATGTTGCTTCTGAACATTTGTCTCTTTTGACTTTAAATTTCATTTCTATTGCTAGGATAGCAAATGAATTTAGTTCTGACACTGTAGAGCTTAGTAATACAAATTATCTTGTAGAAGAATAAGGTCAAATGTATCTTCCATGCCAGTAAAGAGAATGGCTGCTTTATCAAAATAAATTTGGCCTCAGTGTTGAATATGACTGCTTTGAAGACTTTTTTACTGTCAGAGTTACACAAGCATAGTACTGGGACTAAGAAGAAGAAAAAAAAATTTTTTAAATTAAAAATGTGAAGATATCTTGATTTTTTATGAGTGTCTGGTAGTCACAAAGGATTAACTCACACCACATAGAGCCGCCTGATCATATC